AGGGAAGACAGTCCTGAAGATCCATACCAAAATTGAGTCTTAAAAGGTTAGTGGAACTTGGTTGAATTGTGAGGGAAAGATTTGTGATGCAGGCAGAGAGAGGAGAATGTAGAATTTCAAAAACAGAGAAAAATACAGAGGTTGAGATGGTAAGGGTTGGGGTGGAAAGGCCTGGAGGTCATCAGGAGGCAGTTAGAAGGTAAGCAGAAGGTCCCTGGTTTGGGGGCTTTGTCTGCCATGCTAATGTCTTGTCTTTGGGGGGGGGAGGGCAGAGGGGGAATGAGCGACCATAAAAAGGACTTACACATAGGACTTATCAGATTCCTACTTTTTAAAAAAAGACTTTAAATCATAAAAACAATACCTGTAGACAATTTCTCAAAAATCAATTGAGCCTATTGCTCTAAGGAAAACAACTAACAGTATTTGTTAGCAATTTCAAGTTTCCCCTTAAAAATTAGAATTCTGGGAAACTTGTATCTGCCACTATAAGATTGATAGCTTTCCAATACTTTAAGCATCCTCTGATGAGATCAAAGGGATATTAATCAATATGATTTTTAAATGTTGTGTTATGAAATGTGTCAACATTTGCAAGGTCTTCATAACTCAATGAACCATATTTTCCAAATGACCAATGTCGGATGTTACAAAAAGATGCCTGGGTAAAAGAATCAATTCAAAGAGCAAAATCGACCAAATGGATTTTAAGGTAACAAAGTACAAAAATTTCTTTGACATGGTTTCGGATTTGACACAACTAATCTTTAAGAAACAATAATTTGTCAGTTTGGGTATAGAATCAAAGAAAAATATTCACAATTATCTGAAAAAGATATTAACATACTCCTTCCTTTTCAACTATATATCTGTATGAGGCTGAATTTTCTTCATTTACTTAAACCCAATCAGTAATATCATAATAGGTTTTATACAGAATCAGATATGAAAATCTACCACTAGAGAGACTTAGCAAAAATGTAAATGCTATTCTTCTCACCAAATATTTTCAATTTTGAAAAGTATAGTTATTTTGCATAAAATATGTTATTTATAACATGTAAGGAATTTATCTTAAAATAAATTATCCAATAATGTGGAGGTTTTTGCAGTTTTCATTTCAAACACACTAAATATGGACAGATGTAGTCACATAACCAAGGGGTCTTTAGAATCCTTAATAATTTTTAAGAGTGTAAGTCTTTTATACAAATATTAAGTCCTCATGTTGTACATCTGAAACTAACAAGGTTATGTGTCAACTATACCTCAATTTAAAAAAAAGAACCTAATTTCTTAGGTTCTTATTTGGCTTGGAGAGGGGAGTGTAAAAGAGTTTTGAGATAAAAAAGTTGGGGAACTGCTGCACTCACTTATACTGCTTCAATTGTTCTAAATTTAAAACATTCCAACCTTGAACAGAAAGATAGAGGAGGAAAGAAATCCCTGGGGTTAGTGCCTGGGTTAATCATTAAAGGAGCTTCTCTTTGTCGGTGCCCTGGAGGTGTTTCCACCCTGGGGGCAATGCACTGTAGTAAGCATTGAGGTGGGTGAGGGGATTGCCTTCTGTTTGCAAAACAGAAAGACTATTTATCATGTATATAAGGAAACCTATTCCTCTAAAACTATCAATGCAGGTGTACTCATGGGAAAGTCTTCATGTAACCCAGGAATAGGGTCTTCCAGAAGATGCTGGTCCCCCTTCCCTATTTGGAAGAGATGGGAAGGGGAAAACACAGACCTTAGAGACTGGACCTCTGATAAAGGTCCTTTTATTCATTTGGACACAGAGAGAGCTCTCTGTAGTCCCAGGAACACAAAACCCTATTTGCTAGTTAACATGTGACTGGGTCCATTTCCTGTGTTTGATGATCCATCCAACAGGGACTTGCTCAACTCTGTGGCTCTTAGGCTGTGTGATTGACAGTCTGACAGACCTGGGGCTTTCCCCCAGTTATGACTGGGCAAAATCAAGCAGGATCCCTCAGTTCTAGTCTCCACATCTGCAAAGTAGGGATAAGCATGCCTACTTGGCGTTTAAAGCACGTGGCACACATTATTAGATTACAACTACCATTTCAGTGCTTACCCTGTGTCAGGAACTGTGAACGGCTCTCCCTTTATCAGATTTAGTCTTCACGAAAAGCCTGAAAAGTAATTTTGCTATTTCTTTACTTCTAAGGAGAGTTTTTGTCTACATTTAATTTTGTCTTGCATTCGATGTACATATGGTTTGTCCTGTTTTGTACAAAAGTTAATAAATTAATGGTGCATCTTGTAATAAAAAAATACAGTATGGATTTCCCCTTTTTATGAATGTGGAACAAGTTAAAGGATTTGAAGTAACTTGTCTAAGTCCACACATTTGGAACGTGGTGGGGCAGAGAGGTGAACCATGGACTGTCCATCTCCAAAGCCTGGGGTTGTCTCATTGATTCATCACACCAGGCTATGCCTCCCCGCTCCCCAGCCCCTGGATTCAACTACACAGCCAGGATTTATGGAAAAGAACCTAGTCCCACCCAGGCCTTGGGTGCCTCTTCCACCCTTTGGTTCACCAAATGTATTTACCAGAATATCCCCGTGAGACATCTTTTGTTCAGTTAATCCAACATATCCGAGGCAGAGTTCCTCTGATGCCTGCATCTTAAGTTTAGGCCCAAAGAACTAAAAGTGGACAGCTTGCATTGAACACTGATGGGCAATGCAATGCTACAAAATATTTTATATATGGGAGACACTCCTCCACTCTACCCACCCCCATCCGCACCACCATTAGGTTTCTCTCTAACAGTCCACCAACTCGGCCTGCCCCCAATCTTCATTTTATCCTATACAGGTAATCTTATGTGGCTAATGATCCCTGTGTGTGCAAAGGAAATGAGGCTCCTGCCACTGACACCCACACTATTAAATGTATCCAGACTTCTCTCAGAGAGTGAGCAAAGGGCCTTCTTTAGTCCTAAGTGTCCAGAGTACCATGTTTTGAGGTGCTTCTCTTGTCTTCATGGGGGTTCTCTCAGTATCGTCTTAGCAGTACCTCAGAATCTGTAGATTGAAACCAGTGTCTATAGATTACCAAGGCCATCAATACATTGACTAAAGACCTGATCACACCCCGAGAAAAACTAGATCCAAACCCACTCACGTTGTGTTGAAAAATGTGAACTCAAAATGAAGTTTATAAAACAACCTTTAGAACTTAATTCCAACAAGTTATTTCTTCTTTACTCTTAAAAAACATCGAAAAAGTCTGTGGTAAGGATTAAATAAAAGCCTTCTCCAGGTATCTAGAACCTAGGTGTTTTTCTCATCACTTTGGATGGGTTTCCAATGTATATTTTAGGATAATGGGCTGTCAAATTTTTTGCAAATTATTTCTTAGCATGTTTTTTTCCTTTTGCTTATGATGGTTTTTGATGACCTTGAACTTAAAATATTTACATTGCGGAATATCAATATTTTCTTTGTCATTTCTTTTATTGCTTTAAAGCTTGGTCTCTGTCCATCAAAAAAATATTCACCAATATTTTCTTCCCCTTTTTAATAGTTTGATCTTTTTTTTTAAACACATAGGTCAAGCCCTAACAGGATAGCTGAATTGGTGAGAGTATCGTCCCAATACACTAAGGTTGTGGGTTCGATACCTGGTCAGGGCACATACGAGAAGCAACCAATGAATGCATAAACAAGTGGAACAACAAATCGATGTTTCTCTTTCCTCTCTCTCTCTCTCTCAAATCAATAAAAAAAATTAAAAATAAAACATAACAAATAGATCAAGATAGATGATGCAGTGCTATGATCTCATTTACTTTTTCTTCCCAAATAGTTGACCAATTCTTGTGGTGGTACTGTTTATTAAATAATTCCAAGTTAAAATATTTTTTTAAATCCTTACTGGAGGATATTTTTTCCTTTGCTCTTTAGAGAGAGTGGGAGAGAAACATCGACGTGAAAGACACACATCAATTGGTTGCCTCCCACACATGAGATCGAGCCTGCAACCGATATATATACCCTTGGCTAGAATTGACCCTGGGACCCTTCAGTCCATGGGCTGATGCTCTAACCACTGAGCAAAACCAGCTAGGGCCAAGTTAAAATACTCTTAACCGTGCTGGTGAGAAAAGTGGAAAGTGAGCCCAGGACAAAGTGAGGTGAGAATCAATCTGGCTGGAGGCTCCTAATAGCCACCATGGCCTGCAGGTAGGGAGCACCTGGGGTGAGGAATGCAGGCACAGACCAGGCCTATTGTTTGTATAAGAACTGCTGCTGTTTGAAGGGGCTGGGGAGAAAGGGTATGGAATGAAGGGAATAAAAACTGATGGGCATACTATACACTGTAATGATGGATACATATCAGCATGCACTTGTCAAAATCCATAGAACTGTACCACACAGGGTGAACCCTAGTGTAAACTATGGATTCTAATGAACAATCATGTATCAATATGGGCTCATCAACTGTAACAGGTGCGCCACATTAATGGAATATGGAAATAATAGGGGAGACTGTGCAGGGACAGGGGAGTGTACACGAGAACTCTCTGTATTAGCTGCTCTTTCCTGTACACCAGAACTGTTGTAAGAAATAAAGTCTTTTTTTTTTTTTAAATATATCTTTATTGATTTCAGAGAGAGGAAAGGAGAGGGAGAGAAGGAGATAGAAACATCAATGATGAGAGAGTCATTGATTGGCTGCGGCCCACAACCCGGGCATGTGCCCTGACTGGGCGGGAATCGAACCCCGATCGCCTGGATCTTAGGTCGATGCTCAACCGCTGAGCCACGCCCGGCCGGGCCTTTTTTTTTTTTAAGTTGACACAGCTATTGTTTCCCAAACCCAGGCACTGGGCCATGGGTATCTGTGTGTCCTGTTTAAAAGAAGCAGGTGGAGAGGGAGGTCAAGAGCTGAGGGCTAGAAACTTGGTGCACTGACCACAAGTGTCAATTAAAGATTCTTCTTCCCCACAGAAAAAATGAGAGGTGCACTTCCATGTATTTCAACCAGGTATTTTATTGTTCTGGCAACTGCGAAATATACAAATTTCTGAAAGGCAGCCCCTGTGTGAAAGCTGGCACAGCTTCATCCCAGGTAGTTAATTCAGACACTTAATACAGAATGCAGAGAAGTCGTAAGTCGCACATAAAAGGCCCCAAACCAACCAATAAACAATAAACCCAATCTAAAAAGTTTTCTGTTTACAAGCTCCCTTATACACATTAAATAAATAAATAGCACATTTGCTATCAAAATAATAAAAAAATAAATTTCAAGTATTACAAACAAAATCATCATTGGTGTGGTTCAAACAGTTTTTCTTCTCCCCTCAAATGAAGAGTTTCGTCCATGGTCTCAAGACAGAAAAAGGAGAGGGATACACCTCCCCAAAAACAAATAAGCAAAGTTAAAAAAATTGGTCCCAGATATTTTTCAGGAGGTGGGGGGTGAGAGGCAATAAAGTAGCAGACACTCCATGCCTGCAGCTCCCACACACTCCATCCAATGCCTCCTCAGAGATCAGATCACCGCTTTCACCTCCTCAGCCTTCTGCTCTCTCCCAGGTCCCCTCCCCATCCATACTCCTATCTACTGCCCCACCCGGGCCCTTACAAGCTATGCCCTGTGGGAGGCAAAGCTTCATTTACGTTTGTACCGACTTCAGGCTGTGAGAGGTGAGGGGCGTGCACCTTCACATAGCCCCACTCCAATCGGCAGTAAGAGTCCAGAAAGTGGGACACAATGAAGTCATTCTCAAGAGCAGAACTGCAGGCCCCTCTGTCTAAAAATACGACCAACCTACAAACATACACTCGTGTCAACTAGACACAAGATAGCAGGAAAGAGGGGAAATAATCCAAGTCTTTAATTGCATATAACATGCATACAGATCCTCTCGGGCAGACTGCCAAGTAAGGGGACAGGGGTTGTGATTTGGTGTGAAAACCTCAAATGTGATTGTATGGTATCTGAAGTGTGTCCTATTTCCCACGTAAGCCCAATCAGAGAAACGTACAATCTCGAAAAGCTCCTCTTGAGCAAAACAAAAACAAAAATAGCTCCACTTCCAGCTCTAGCTGTCCAAGCCTGCCCACCACCCCCACTCAGCTAGTTCATAGGCTGAGGGGTGGGGATGTCAGGCTCAAAAGCAGAGGGCAGGAAAGAAAAGTGACCTTTGGCACCAGCTTTTTAAAGGGTCATTTTGACAACTACTGAGTCTCTAAATCATTTCTTCTGGGCCTCAGGACACCCTCTTCGTCCCCCAGTACTTGGAGACACCAAGGAGAAACCAGCAGATCAAACTACAGGTATTTAGAATCACATATCCCAAAATTCCTGCTTTGAATCCCCCACCAATACCAGAGTTGCCACTAGGACAAGAGAGGACATTCCCCGAGGAACCCAACACCATGCTAGGCATACAGCAGATGCTCAAAGAAAACATGCGGAATTGAGCTGAATCCTGCGGGGAGACCATGAACAACCTCTTGGAAGAAGTGGTGTAGAGTGAGGCCTGGCTTGGGCCACTGTCCCCACCGGGGAAATATGGGAGGTGATGAATGTCCTGAAGGAAGGAGGCCGGATCCTTGTTCTTCTCCCAAGGTCTGTCTTGCAAGCATCTGAGTGCTTGCTCCCAGCCACTTTACTGGGGTCCCTCTGAGCTCCCCATCTCATGGGCATGCCCGACACCCCACATGCTTTCAGAGCTCCAGCTCCCAAGGGCACACAACCCAACCGTCTAAGTTCCTGAAAGGAAGGCGTGACTTTCAGGTCATATGTCCTGCCAGAAAAAAATGCAAAAGCAAGCATCCCCAGGGAAGCCATGTCTCAGGTGCCTCTGATCCAGGCCTGGGGCAGAAGGGCCACACAGCTCCCCGGGAGGGTGAGGCCCTGATGCTATTTCCTCTTGCCAACACAGCTAGACTGTCCAACATCTTCAGAGGCCGAGCACAGGCCTGGGAGGGTGTGGACATACAGAGGGTCACTGCTTAGCTGACGCATCCCCAGCTCAGGAACTTTTCTGTCAGCACTTCCAGACTGGCTCTCCAGGCCGGCCCCATCCCAGCACACATCCTTTCTTCACAGGTAAACTTCCCAGGCCAAGATGCACAAACAAGCCTTGTGAAAGTTTTCAACATCCCTGAACCTTCAGCAACTGGGATCTAGGTTCCTTTAATTTTAGGATTCTGGGACCAGTGTCATCTCCCCAGCTGGGAACATTCCAGGCCAAGATCACAGAAACAACACAAAACAAAACAGCACAGAGGCGCCCGATGTCCCCTCCTCGAGGCCTTCTCTCACCTCCTCCACTGCCTATTGTCCTCACCAAGCCTTGTGGAGGGTCAGTGAGGCCACACAGCCCTGGACAGTGGGGAGAGCATGGGTGGGGGTGGCCACAGCTGGACTTGGAGGCATGGGTTCTGTGCACACCAGGAAAGGTGTGCTGGGGTCTCGGCCACCCCAATGCTGTTGGGGGCATGGGTTCGCATTGACCAGCAGACCCCTCTTCTAGGCCACCTGGCCCTTCCTGGGAGAAGTTGTTGGTATGGTCAGCCTCGGTGGATGGGAGAGCCCTACCTAAGTTGCAGGAATGGAAATGGAATGGAACCGGTGGGTCTGCCTCAGTGTGTCCGGGAGGAGTCGACGCTGCTCTGGGAGCCTTTCATGTTCTGTTTTCAGGAGAAAAGGGTGGGGAAGCAGAGTTATTACTGTTGATTAAGTCCCTAGAGCAGAAGACTAAAGCCATGCAATTGAGACTTCACCTTCCCTCCCTCCAGACAAAAATCATGACCCCAGAAGAGCATCATTAACCAAACTGGTGGCGGTTAAGGCCAGAGTCACACGGGAGAAGGGCCTCATGGCAGAGACCTGACATCTGCCTGCAGGAGGTGGGAAGGAGGGTAGGGACAGCAGGCAGCTCTGTAAGTCAGAGTTGTACTGGGGAGCAATGGGGGACCCTCAGCTCATAGCCCTTGAGAGCCCCAGGGCTGCCCCTGCCCTGGCCCAGGGAAGTCTTACTGGCCACACCAGGCAGAGGATGCTCCGGGGCCTCTAAAGAAGCACGAGGACTCTCCTACCAACTTGGCTCAAGTAGGACCACACACCTCAGCCCCAGGGACCCAGATTCTAGGAACACGAGCTTGGCAGCTGGAACACAGGTGCTACGAGCCAGCTGGACATGGGTATTGTCACTAAAGCTCTCTTCCCGTTCTAATAAAAGTAATCCTAGCCGGAAGCGTCACCCATAAGAAGCTTGCCAGTATCAAAACCCCCTAAAAAAATGTTTTCAATCAGCTGGGGACAGATGATGGCTGCCACTGCACAGCAGGTGTCTCTTTAACTAACCTCCTTAATTTACCCACAAAAAGTGAAACACTTTTTAAAAAGTGTTCTCTCCCATCCTGAGTGTCTACACAAAGACTGTCTTAAAGGGGCAGATGGAAATGCAAGGATCACCTCGGCTCACTCGCCTCCCATGCAGAACCGAGAGCCCTGGTGCAGAAATCCCTACAGAAGAGAATCCCGGGCTGGTGGCACTAAAACCCAGATCTGAGCCTATTCTTGGCCAGACTCAGGAGCCCAGGTGACCCAACCCTCCAACCATGAGTACATCAGGCAGCCTTGAGGGGGGAGGGGGTCTGCTGGGGAAGGCCCTCTAGCCCCGAAACCAGAGAGGACTCAGCCAACTTGTGGGGTCAGACAGCGAGGTGCTGCTGTGTCCCTCTGATCGGCTGGCTCCAAGTCGCCCTCATACATGTCAAGCCCAAGGCTCCTTTGAGTACCCACAAATGATGGCAATAGGACAATGACACCGAGGGTCACAGGCACAGGCTATGTCAAACCATTCACTCATGGTGTCCCTGGCTCAGGACACATGGAGGGAAAGGAGGAAGCGAGAGAGGGGACCTCAAGACAATGGCGCTGCTCTCCAAAATCACGAGTTCTTTGGCACGGGGTGTATGAGTCACACACTTCACAATGGCCAGTCTTCACACAGACCAAGGCGCCCTGCCGGGCAGAGATGCCAGGACTCAGAGAGATGCGGAGGGGACCGAGAGGGGCATGCACCGAGTCATTTACCTTTCCAAGGTTAGTAAGGAGAAAACTTTGAGAAAATGTGACAGACAGTTCGTCTTTCAAGCATAGTGGGGGCAAAGGAAGAAACATGTTGGAAAAGAAAAACAAAACAAAACATCTTTAGTAGCATTTTGTTTTTACTATGCATTTGAAATTCCAAAAGCAAGAATGCATGGTGAATGGTTGGCCCCACGCACTGTTACAGCCCCAGGACAGGACTGCAGGGCGCCACACCTGCCCGGGCCATCACGCTGCTTTACCAGGACACCACGCTCACTGGCATCCTCAAGCCACACCCTTAAGATCCCGTGGGCTCCCCCACTCCCCCGTCCCTTTGTGCTCCAGCTGCTCATGAGAAGAAATCCCATTGGCCTGAGCAGAAGGAACAGGGGCATCAAAATGCAGAGTGGAGTGCAAACCGGAGCACTCGGAGTACCCACCAAAGCACAGGGCACCATCTCTCCCATGATAACAGCTATTGGCCACTGGGTACTAACTATGTGCCAGAGACTCTGTAAGTGCTACATTAACAAAACGTTCCTATCTCCATTTTATGGATGAGGAAGTTGGAGCCCTAGAATGGCACCACCTTGCCCAGAGTTCCAAAGAGATAGGATAGGAGAGCCAAGGTCCAAACCCGGCTCAGTGTGACTTTAATAACACATTTTGGGATCTGCAGCCCTAGACATGGGCTTGTGCTCCCAGGCTGGGCTGGACACTGAGACCCCAGAGTGGAATGCAGTTGTGAAGGGTCCAAACATGTGCAGGGTCCAAATGTTTGCTTAAGTGGAGGGAGTCTAGACAAAAGTGCTACTAGCCTTAGAGACGGGCAAGTTCAATCTTAGTAGGTGGGGGAAGTGCCTAAATGCCCCTCCCCCCATCCAGCAGGAAGATTTCTTTCCTGGCAACACCAGGCCATCGTGGGTCAAAAGAACAGTAGATGCACAGACACAGGGGGAGGCTACTCTTAAAGCCTGAATTTCATGGACACTGTCAGGGGAAGCAGCTGCATGGGAGAGGCTGCAAGAACTAAAAAGGAAATCAAACAGCTCCAGGCAGTGCCCTACAGGCTGCAAACTTCAGATGCCCTGGGGCAGGAGCAGGTGAACAGAATCTTGGCTGTTCCCAGAAACCAGTCCAGAGAAAGCAGCCTGGTCAAGTCCTGGTTCTGCCACTGGATGACTGTGGGTGAGTTACTTCACCTGGGCCCTAATCTGGTAAACAGGGATAGTAACTGTCCTGCAGCCATCCTGGGGTTATTTTAAGAATCAAAGACATGATATGCGCAAGCACATTTTTCATGACCTGCAGAGCATGATGAAATATATTTCACTCCAGGTGGTGCCATCTAATCCAAGCATGATGCCAAACAACTCCTGTTTTCCCAGAACAAGCCATGCTTTTAAGCTTTTTAATCAGGCTGAACTCCTCAAGCCCTTTCAGCTTCTGCATGAATTAGTCAAGGTACCCTAATCAGCAAAAGGGAAAACGGTAGGTATGATTGGAGGGGTTGGGGAGGGTGATATTTCATGGTGGCTGTTACTAAAATTGTGATATAAAGCCTCAGTTCCTTCTGTAGTTGGGGACCACAAGAATGGAAACCCTCTAGCTGACGCTTAACCAGAACTTTCTGCAGAGAGCTCTGGCTTCAGGAAAGTGGAAGCCAAGTGGGTCTGATTCGAAAACTGCTCCCAACGACTATTAAGGCTGAGCAGGTTCCCATACAGGAAAACTTGATCCAGAACAGCAGTTTCCAATCAGACCTCTCTAGAGTATGGGGGTCCTGGAGCCTGGGGTGGGGGTCCCTGCCAGGACAAGAGGGTTTTGTAGATCAGGCTCTGGGTAAATGTTCCTCTCAGAATTAAAGGGCTCTCCTAGGGTAGACACAGAATTAAAAGACAATGGTAGCAGGCACAAGACCTAGCTCACTACCAATATCTGACACCAAGAGGGACAAACGAGATTTAGTACCAACAGTAACCCTGGACCCCAAGAGGGAGTGAGGAGCCAGCTGTGGCAGTGGCACAGAAAACAGCTGGGCCATAAGTACTTCTTGTGTCCTTTGCTAAAAATTCATGAATCCCCTTCTCCCTCCTCTGGTGCCCATCTTCCTCCTTCAGATTTTACAAAAACTGTCCTTAACCTCAACATTTTAACAGGCAGGAGGCCAAACTGGCAAGCGGGGAGAAAGAGATGCTAGCAGCAAAATCATTCAGAGAAAATACTTACAAACAGGCTTTCCCTAGCAAAGGCTGCAGAGAGAAAAGGTTGAGAGACAGAGGTCAGTAGAGGGACAGGGGACAAGGCTCAGGTCTTGTGAAGTCAGGACATCCTCTGCTGAGACCCTCCCGGCCTGGCCCAGTTTCCAGACTCCCTAAGGATTCAGTTCAGTTCAGCAACCCGAAGGACTGTCTTGTCAAAGTTGGGGGAAGCCCCAGTTTTGCATCCTCCCCACACACCACTGAATCTAGCACAGGCCAGTCCCCCCCCAAGCGTCAGTGACAGTGGCTTCTAAACTTCCAATTATGACCCCAGGGTTTACACCAAAATAATGTCATAGACACATCACATAGAACTTCAGTTCTGTTTTCATAAAAAACACTTCTAATTTTAAACCTGAAAGGACTATTAATTAGATATCTCCAAGTCCTAGCCCCTCATTTGAAAAGATAAGGAGACTGAAGGCCAGGGAGGGATGTAACCTAACAATAAAATCCTACAGTTAGTGCCAGGGGCAGACACTGTGCTCGAGGCTCAGCACTTATTCCCTGATTTTATCTGCTCTGGCAGTAGGAACTACTCCCCCATTCCACAGGCGAGAAAACTGAAGCTTCAAGAGGTTCAGTGACCAGCCAAGGCTGCATAGCACTTGCCCCCACATCACATTTCCAGACACCACAGGATTTAAATGAGCTTCAGGCAAAAAGCAGGAACAGTGTGGGCCTCAGCACCAAACTCATAAACAAATCAAATTCAAAATTTAGCTGTGATTTATTTGTAAGAGACCAGGCCTGGTGGGTGGAAGTGAGGGGAGACCCCTGGGTGGGGCCCAAATCTGTGCCCAGAGATTTCTCAGTCTCACAGATTCTTGGCTGTCGTTGAAGGAAAAAAATTGTTTTCTAAAAACAAATCTTAGTGCCCAATAGCCAAGATCTTTCAGCCTGAAATTTTCATAGTGAATAAAGTAAGTGAAATCTAGTTGTTTTTTTTACTGCCCGCTAAAGTAACTATGCCGTGAGAAAGTGGCTATTTCCTGACCATCTGGCTCTGCGAGTCGGGCTACCCAGGTTCTCACCGGTCCATATGGGCTCCGGATGAGGACTCTCTGTGGGCCCCCTGCGACTACAGCTTTTCTACAATGGGGAGCCATGGCAAGAAAGGAAGGGGAAATACTCAGCCACAGGCCTGGGTCACGCAGAAGCCAACAGCTCAGAGCTGCCTGGAGACTTCCAAACGAGGGGCTGCCTTCCACTCGGCTTTAGAAAAACCTGTCCAAGAATGGGAGTGGCACACACACATTCGCCATTTCTCCTGCTCTGCCCAGTTCTGCCTGGTAGAGGTCACCTCCTCAGAAAGCAGGTGTGCACGCTCACAGCCATGGCCGGAAGGACCCGACTGGACCTCCAGGACATCACAAACTTCAGCTGCTATCCCTGTGTTCTCCCCCTCCACCATCTGGGTCGGAGGCTATGGTGGCACCCACTGGGCGGTCTCCTTCCCACCCACACAGGAGACATGACGGCAAGGAAGGAAAAGGGGGGTAACGCACTTGTCCGGGCAGCTGCGCGGGCACCTCCGGGGGCAGGCAGTTGGGCAGGGCAGCGGAGGTAGAGGCCACATGCTCCTCAAAGCTGTTGATGCGAGGCTTTTTGGTGGGCTCGGGGCTGGCTAGTGGGGTGACACTATTGCGTCTCATGAGTGGGTTAGGTCCCTTCTTTGCGTCCTAAGCGAGACAAAGACAAAAGAGAGAAGGCGACAGTTACACAGAGAGGGGAGGTAAATAAGCCAAAAAAATCAAAACCAAACAAAACATGTTTCTCTGCTTCTGGATTTTACTGACACGACAAGACTGACCAAGGTGAACGGCCCTGGGACCACTGGGTTGCTGTTTTGTCTTGCATCTCCCAGTTGGCAAGATCAAGGGATGATCTCCTCCCGAGGCCCTTCTCTGGATCACTCCAAGACACCCACCCAGATGAGCACGACATTCACAAAGCAGGTGAGGGAAGGACACAGGACCGGCTCTGCAGTCATTCAATTGCAGCAGATAACGAGGTGGGAGAAAAGAACCTGGCTGCCAGCCTCCAAGGAGGGGCATGGAGGGGAGACAGGCCTTGATGTGAGGCTCGGGTAACTACTAAGGGGACAGGACAACAGAAGGGCAGGGAGGAGGAGGTGTCGGTGCTGGACTCCCACTTGCTAACCTCGAGCCAGGATCTGCAGAGCAGGCATGGAACGGCTCCTGTGTCCCACAACCATACCAGGCTCAGGACAGGAAAGGTAGGTTTCAAGGCCAGCCAAGGCCAAACACTAGCCTTCTGATCAAGCAACTATGGGATTGGGGAAATCCCCGTGGCCTGTCACTGTAGCTTGTGACCCAGGAACCTGCGTTGGGGTCTGTCTCCACCAGTTCCGCACAGTCCAGGGTTCAGGAACCATCAGAGCCCAGTTCAGCAGAACCCCACTGCTGGGGGTTCAGGTTTGGAGGCTGCTTGGCACAGAGCCAGAGGAAATGCAGCACCCGCCACCCACACACGTTCAGAAGGAGGTGCCACAGAGCCAAGGGATGCCGTCCTCCTGTGTTTCAGGCAGCCAGCCAGGCAACTGCCGGTGGAAGCCAGGATTTTAATGCCAAAACCTTCTGGCCAAGCTTTCTGGGGACAGGAAACTCCCCTGCACAAATGGGAATGTTGTACTCAGTGTACAGGAAGTGTCTGACTAATGCTGGCAAAGCACTGCATTTCAGTAGTAAGCACAAAGTCAATTCCAGCTTTCTTCCACAACATACACCTGGGCAGAAAGCGACTCTGCCCTTGGGAGAGCCCACCAGGATGACCACCAAATCTCAGATCTCCCAGGCGGGAATCAGATGCCACCAGGCACCAGGGTCTCCTGAAACACATTCCATCCACCATCCCTATGTCTCTAATTTCCAAATCATATGTTTCTCCAGCCCCACTTCCTTTTTCACTATTATGATTTCTTGGTAATTCTGTATCTAAGTGCACAGAGGTGACTTAGCGGATTTGCTGACCCTGTTTTAGCCGGTGGCTCTGGAACCTGAAAGTAGTTTCCCCAAAGGAAAAGGCAACAATATTTGTGCTGTGGTTATAGTTAAGAGCAGAATGTGTCTGGGGGAAGAAAGCATGGAAAGAGAAAAAAGAAGATGCCAAGAAGCCACAAGAAAGATAGGGCAGGAGCACACAGATGCTAAGAAAAGGAAGGTGAGAAAGTTACCCAGGCCCTCCCAGTTCCAACAAACTACCTCAGTGAGAACCAAGACATAGTCAGTGTTTACAGGCAACGCAATACTGGGGATTTCCCAAGAGCTCACACGCATTGGTCCCGTCACTCAGCAGTCCTAGGGATGGAGGACAGGGTGGGGGTGTGCACACAGGCACGAAGCTTACACTCACCTCTGACCTCTCCCGGTGTGTGTTCACTGACTCCACGTTCAGGTAAATGGATTCTACACGGCAACCTGGGTGGGGGAGAGGGAGCAGCTTCCGGTTATAAGGGACAAGCCACTTACAGCCCCGCAACCACCCAGAGCCACCATCCCAGGGCAGCAGCTCTCACTCGGCACAGGCTGTCACCATACTCACCATAAGCAACCGGTGTCAGCTTCAGGACGGTGTGAAGGGGGCATTTCAGGTAAGGCATCTCCTCTGAAGAGAAAGGGGCCCACGATTAGATAGGACACTCGAGGGTGGACATTCCCAGGCCCCCAGTGAGAGCTCTGCCAGGTCGGATCCTCAGAGGCCTGGCCGGGCAGGGGCGTCTCCCCTGCCCCCCCCCACCCCTCACACAGGCCCTCACTCAAGGCAGACGGCCTTAGAAAAGACACCTAGCCCAAAGAACAAAATCAAAACAAACCCAAACGTGCTCTCACAGAAGGAGTTATGGTAAAAAAGAATCATTCCCCAAAAAACTTAGTGTGTCAGGATTCAGGTGAACCTCAGGCCAACTCAGACTTTTCAGTTGGAGTTTTCTGGGCTGTTTGTTCCTTAGACGGGGGCTGCAGAGAAGAGCTGGCCCCTCCCCACCCGGCCCAAAGCCGCTGAGATGTAAGTGGACAAAGGCCTTCAGGAAGCTGTTAGTAAAGCTGTTGGTCCACCGTGCCTCATGTTGGGCTATGAAGTTTCCCAGAGGCCGGCAAGGAAGGGCTGGGCCTGAAGCCCTCGGCAGGCGGAGGCTCCTCCTAACCCTCAGCAGCCCAACAGCAACGTGTGCAGGTCGGGTAAGGAAGGACGAGGTCCACCGCTACCCCAAACCCAGAGGCTGCTTTCCCTCCCTCCTTTCAGGGACTGCAACCAGCTCCCAGCCCCCCTCTGCCCAGGAAGCTTTGGGGGATGGGGCACCTGCGCTCTTATCCAGGAAGTAGGCCAAGAGGCAACGCAGGACAGCCTGGTGACAGATGACCAGCACATTCTCCTGTCGCTCCAGCTCCATGATCACCGGCTCCAGGCGCTGGACCAGGTCCTGGTAGGACTGCAAGACAGAGGGACGGGTGCTGTGCTGGAGCAGCACACGCAAGAAGGGCCGTGGTGAGCTCCTCCACGCACAGCACACAGCAGCTACACCTGGCTATCATTTACTGAATGGACAGTGACCCCAGGCGGAAGGGGGAGCAGCCAGCACACGCACCTCCCCGGTGGGGTACCGATAGTAGTACTTGTCCTGCTCACGCAGAGCGTACTCCTCAGGGTAGGTGTCCTTGATCTCCTCGTAGGTCATCTCCTCACAGACACCCTGGAGAAAACACCCAGGTCACTTGAGGGAAACTGCCCCAAAGGCCACCTCGAACTGGTCAACATAGCTCTTGTGGTCTGAAAGGGCTCTCAGGGTTTCCAACAGATTTGGCAGGAAGAGGCTTCCTTGCACTCTTGCTCCCAAACCCCATGGCCACAGCGAGACCCCGCACTCACAGCATCGATTTCGTTGAGCGCCTTCCACTGTTCGTAGGGAAGCTGAAGGGCTTCTGCCGTCTGGATGGTACTCTTCAGCTGGCTGGTCCACACCTTGAGGTCCTTCAGGTTCTGCTCCTCCACAAATTTGCTCAGGGCGTTGGCAAACTGAGAGGGCAGGGGACAAGAGGGACACACACTGGACTTCAGGCTCCTGTGCTCCCTGGAGTGGCAGTGCAGGGCTCCTTTCCACTCCACACTGGGGACAGTCACTATGTTGTCATTAAAATGGCAAGGACACTGAGAGCAACTGAGGAGCCACCCCCCACATACACTTTCCTCATGGCCCCAGAGATGCTCCCTTTCTGTCCATACAAATACAGGCACACACACAGGAAAACACACACATACACACGGGGACACATACAGAGACACACACTCAGGGACACACACATACAGATGCATACATATACACAGACAGGGAAAGGAACACACACATATGTAAACATAAACACAGGGACACGCACATATGTATATATACATAGAGACACACCCACCCCACTCCCCAGCCCTCTGCCTTTCCCCGTTCCCTTCCTACCTTCCTGCCCCTGCTGGACAGGCCTGAGTCCCCTCCGATCTTCCCCTGGAGGTTGTGCTCACTCTCGCCATGCCGACACAGGTAGATGGTGCGGGGCTGCACGTGGATGTTCATCAGGTAGTACACAATTCGGCTCTGAATGTGGTCCTGAACTCTGTTCACCAAGAACCGCCGGCCCACGTCTATCACCTTAATCAGGGACAGGTCCCTGCAGAGCAAGGCGACAGGTGAATCAGAACCCTGCTCCTCCCCAACACCACTGCACTGCCAGCCTGGGTCCAATCACCTGGCTGGGGCCAATGGCAGAGATCAGCCCCAAGAGAACCACACTGTCTGGCTGTGCACTCCTGGAGGGCACAGACTGAATCTATTTGATCCAAGAGTCAGAGTGTGAGGTTACAACCTACACATCAGAGTGCGTGGTCGAGAGGTGAGCTGGTCTCCCAGAAGAGGGGGAGAGAAAAGCAAGAGAAGGGAATGAAAATAAAGGCAAGAGCAAAGGGACTCAGCAAGACTGGGCTCAGATATTCATTTTCCAAACTTCTACATAGTGTCTGAAACAGTTACACTGAACGTGTAATGAAGGATTTTTTTCAAACGATATTTTAAAAAAGAGTTTCTGAAAGTATCCAGAAGTAAATGCATTGTGGGAAGTTCAAGAAAACATTAAAAGCCCTAAAGTAGGTGATTCAGAGAAAATTGCCTCTTAGGAACTACCTGTCATATTTATCGGGGTCGAGGGGCTGATAGCTGGCTTCATAGCAGTTAATTCTCTTCATGAAGTCGTCCATAGCCTCCGCTGAGTTGCAGTCTTTGTAATCTGGGCTGGAGATTTTCACTTCCTGTAACACCACAAAGAGGCAGCTAATGAATCATGCTGGAGACTTTCTTTTTAGCTGAAGCAGGATTTGGGGCTGGCAAACAGGGAACGCACAGACAGACTCAGAATAATGATGATCCGACCCAGCGTTTAAAAGAAAAAGGAAATAGGCTGGTGTGAAGTCATAACCTGATGACTACACGGGGAGGGCGCTATGGTAGACAAAGGATCACTGTCTGGATGAACAGATGGTAGATCCACGAGGGGCTAACGAGCATCTCTGAATGGGCCACGATTTGGGATCAGTCCAATACCCATGTCACCCCCAGATATCCCAGCCCTCAATTCAACTGAGCTCCGTGTAAGCATCTGCAATGTTCCCCACACCAAGAGCAGGTTGTTGGTTAACAAAGCTGCCCCGGAGAGCTGCTGGTGATGGCCCTGGGTGTCAGGCAGGATTCCTCCTCCACCACCCATAGATGGGGCAGCATACACAGGAACTGGTCCCTGGTTAATGCTTCTCTACCTGGCCTCCACGCCCAGTACCTTCCAAGGAATGCTCTTATGGGAAGGAGATGGAGAGAACTGACTCTCGGGCCTGCCATCTCCTCTAAGCGAACAACAGTAGGCCTGAGCAACCTGGCAGATATTAGGGAAATTCTGCATTTTTTAACGCATGTGCTCTTTTCCTCCTCACCAACTACCACAGCCATAAAAGAGAGGCAGCTACCCTTTAAACATCCAAGTTCAATGGTGCAGAGCTTCAATCTGGGAAGATAAAAAAGTTCTAGAGCTCGATGGGGTGGTGGTGGTTGCACAACCATGTGACTACGCTGAAGGACACGGAACTGATCTCTTAAAAACAAATCTTTTCTCCCAGCACAGCCACCCACACAAAGAGCACGGCTAAGCTGCAAAGTCGCTTTGAGGCTTAATCAGAGAAAAAGGCTTCTGAACACGGCGGGTGGGGCAAGTGGCTCCTGGACCAGCTACATGGTGACTGCTCACTGGGGAAAGTGACTTTGCAGCTGCTCTGTCCTTTACTACCAAGTGGAACTACTAGAACCAAGCCAAAGAAATACAGCAACATCCTTTGTTCAGATTACTTCTGTTTCCTTGTCTTTTGAGACTCTTCCACTGAAACCAATCTAGACTGACTTTCCACAATTTGAATGGCTCTTCCTGAAATATGAACTCATTTCTTAGAAATGCTTGTAAATATTCCCAAACAGACCCAATAACCAAAGCTAATGAGCACACAGCATCCTTTTAAAGATGCAAACTTACATGTAGCAATACCACAGGGTTCCCTGTAAAAATATCAGACCCGCTTCTCTTTATAGTTAGCTATGCCTTATTCTGACGTATTTAAGCTGGACAGACAATTACCTACAATGTGAGAAGGTGACCTGTGGTAAAATCTTCACAGTAACTGTTTCTACTTAGGATATACTGTTATCAAGTGATACAATTAACCAAATTAAGCTGCCAATTACCCTCAATTTATCCAGGCAACCTCCCCTTGACACAGGGAGAAGAGGAAGGTATGTTGTAGACACACCAGCAGGAAGATAATTTGACCACCCCCATGCTTGCGAAACTGGGAATTCTGCTTTTCGTCCACTAAGTCCTATGACTACTGTTAATATACAACCACTCTTACTTGCCAGGGCCCTTAACAGTAAAAGAGCCTGCTGCCTCCTTTCCCATCAGGAGGGGTAGGCTGCCCCTTGCCCCAAGCAACCCCATCACCACCCAGCCACCAAGCTACTGTCACCCACAGAAACTGTTCCCAGACCATGCCTTACCTCTCATGTACCACAAAGAATGCTTCCTGCTGACTGTCTGAAAGGACCCCAGATAAAGCCTGGCCAGGTCACAGAACATGCTTCTAAGTTAAATACCACTCAGCACTTCTGACCTCCCCAGATCCTGCCTCTCAGGTAAAACTGACAACAAGCTGAGACAGCCAGCTTGTTCTCAGAGTCTAGTTACTTCCCTGGGCCTGACCTGGTTCCCAGTTCCCTGCTTTTCTGAGACTGGGCCACTAGAACAGGAGTCCTGCGTTATCTTACCATAATATTGGAAGCCACAACTGTAGGGTCATCACACACTGACTCGATGAAAAACACCTGGGAAGAAGAGAAACAGAAATGTTAGGAAACAATAAATGTGGTAACACAAAGGGACAACTTTAGTATCACTCTGATGTTATCACCATATTGGAAGAGGAATGACACCACTCACTCAATCCTAAGTCTTTCCCCAACAGTGAGATGCCTCCCCCTCCCCAGTCATGGTAACCCTAAGAGCCAGCACCAGGAAGGCCCTATCTGTATGTAGCAAAACCAGGGAAGCAGGAGCTGAAGAACCAAGTATAAATCAGCTGATTCTGAGGGTTTTCCTTTCTCTTGAGCACTGCAGGGCAAGAGAAGTTTGGCTCACCTTGAAATCATTTTCTTTGGCAAAATGAAGGATCATGTGTCTCCTCTCTCTAGTAGTATTGGTGGCATCGAAAACCTGGTAGGGAGAAATAAGGATAGTGAAGAGAACCCAAGTTTGAGTTTAACATTATTAACCAAGTCACCAAGTATATCAGGACTGTTCCTGATAGGTAGAAGTCAAAAAACGTGGTTCCAGGAGAGATTGCGCCCTGCCCACGCCCTGCCCTCCCTGCCCTCTCCCACCACCTCCAGCTCTCAGGGAGGGAAGGGGAAGGGTGGGCACAATCCTTAAAGCAAAGTAACAACAGTAACATGCAGGGGAAGGTGTCTATGGGAGGAACACTGGCTCTGTGGCTGTAGCCACCTCAGGTCCAGCCTGCCTCAGAGGGTGGTGCCAAGTGCACAGAGAGGAGGGGTCAGCAGAGCACACCAGCTGGCTGTGCCCCCGAGTTGGCCCCACTGACCACCTTCCTGGGACCCTGTGCTGCTCTAGCCTCCCTCAACTCTCAGCACTTGTTCCTAATTGAGGTGTCCCCACAATGGCTCTCGGTATTGCTCAGGCCAGTGTCAACATTTCACTCTCTTCAGGGCACCATCCCACTATGGGACTGGAGCTAGAACCAGCATATTCCCCAGACTTACTGAAATTTGGCCCCCTTCCTTCGTCAGGTAACTTTTGACGTCTCTCAAGGCAGCAAGGGCACACTGCCTGCAACACAGAGAAAGAGAACATGTATCAGAGGTGGACATCAGAGCAGAGCGACTGACAATTCTAAACTGCTCAGGCTGGCCGGAGTTGCCAGGTGCAGACCCCACAGGCCCAGAGGCTCCCCATTGAAGCTGCACAGAGAGTTGCAGTTACCCTCTGGAAGCGGTGCTCATGCTGGCTGCACACTGAAATCCCCCTGAGAGCTTTTAAGAAACCTATGCCTAGGTCTTGCCCACAGATGCTCACTAAACTGGTCTAGGGTATGCCTAGAATTGGGATCTTTCCAAGCTCCCAGGTGACTCTAAAGTGCAGCCAGAGTTGGACACCATTGCACTTGGGTTTCACGATCACCTTGGGCTTAAAAAAAAACAAACCCTTTTCAGAGTAAGCAGCTGATTGTCCATGAAAACAATTTTGTTCATTCTTAATAATGAAACATTGTTGTTGATCTGTGTCACATCAGCTGGATTAGACCATCCGGAGCGGAGCATCCAGAACATCTGGAGCAGATAAAAGCAGCAAGTCTCAGAGCAGCCAGGAAACTCCTCTTAACACACATAGGTGGGGCCAGATCTGACAGCCACCTGCTGAGAGCCACACAGCAGGGCAGCTTCCTCTTTCTCTTACGAACCTGGCCTTCAAAAGCAAAGCAAACCAAAACCCAAGGCCTCCTGAGGCAGCTCAGCAGCCCAGCCTTACTTTCTGACTCTCATGGCCTCCTCATTGTCAGGGCGGAAGAAGTTGTAGGAGCTGTACTGCTTCACGGCCTCCCGGCGATACTCCCCGACATTGAACACTGCAGAGAAGAGAGAGGACACTCAGCTGGCCCCCAGGACGCTGGGAACACTCTCCAAAAAAGCAAACCAAACCAATACACACACACACAAACTTGAATAAGATCCCGGTAAGATGGGGAAACTAGAAAGTGGACCTCCTGGTCAGGTGCAATCATTGAACTAGAAGGCAGCCCAGCTTCCCCCAGACCAAACATGGCTCAGAGCCTCCTGCTTTTCCATAGACTGTCTCCTACAGCCCAGTGTCCAGTCCAGCCTCACAAAGTCAGGGACTGGAGGCTGAGATTGTGAGAACAGGTCACAGTCACACATCTAACAAAAACAGATGCAATGATTTCTGCCGACGGTGCCTAGGAGACAGTGGGCTTGCACACCACTGCCAGGCCCAAATCAGCCATTCTGCAGACACAGCAGCCTGCACCCATGGGAAGCACTGAATATTTACTGGGTACTTACTATCTGAGACGCTGTGCTGAGCGCAGCAGGGGGATAGCAAATGTAAAAATCAGTGCCTGTCCTTAAGACATTTCCTGCACAGTTGAGGAAACCAGGCAAAGATTCATCAAAATACAGTCAATGACATGGACATTTTATGACAGTCAGTGGCGGAATGTCACAACTAAGTGCCATAGGGGTTTAAAGAAAAAAGATCAGCATAGACTGCGGAGGCCAGAGAAGGCTTCTTGAAGGGGCTGAGGGCTGAGCTAGGCAGGATTCAGGGCAGTGAGAATAACAGAGCAGCCAGTCAGAAAAGATCCCAACACAAAGTAAGGGAGTATAAATAGCATGCTGGGTGATGCAGCCAAAAAGGGTCCCCTCCACTCCACTCTAGGGACAGAGCAGGCCAAGAATGGTCCTGCATGGTGAGTCCCAGCAGCTAGGATGGG